AATGTAAGTCGTTGTGAAAGTAAAGTTTATGTCACATAATCTATCTTGCTTCGTTGATGTTTGATTTGACAATCTGTGTTTTTTAAAGGTTCCGATGAAACATTACAAAAACTGTAACTTCTCATATGCTGGTCTGAAGACACAAGTGAGGATGGCGATTGAAGCCAGAAACATGTATGGTGTTCATATGAGATACCAATATTTTTTATTGATATAATGAATATATACTATCCACTTTTGTAAAGATGTGTATTCCTGATAGAACTTTTATGCCGAGGTTAATTTGAATAATAAAAATAATTTCATTTATTTAAAATGTATTTTGTCTGCAGTGATGCTGGAATACCCATCTCAACAGCTTCTAGTGAGGATAGGCAAGCTCGGGCTGATATTGCCGCATCTTTTCAGGTATTAAGTTCTTTAAGGCTTTATTTGGAACACAGAAAATGGTGGGGGGAAACAGTTTTTTGGACTGTTTGGTTTTTCCTTGAAACCGCCAGGGAAAATAGTTACTTTATATATTTTAGGCAACTCATTTTTTATATTTCAAAAATATTTTTATTACTTTATTAGTCTTTATAATTGAAATATAAAAATAAAATGAGTTTGAAAAATTTAACCAATATTTCCAAAATGTATTTTTTTTAGTTTGAACTTTCTCTTTTTCCCCAAATTTTATTTCCTTCAGAATTTTCCCTCTATTTTTCTTTTCCTAACATTTTACGGGTTCCAAACAGATCCTCTTGACTTGTTAAGTTATCAGTCTTCTCCTTATCTACTTTGTTTCTTGCACAGCGAGTGGCAGTGCTACATTTAGAGGATAAGTGCAAGCGTGCAATTGAGTGGGCCTTGAAGATCGAACCTTCTGTAAATTCTTTGGTGGGCTTTTTGTTTCTACAATAAATTCTATCCCATTTTTGCCACATATTAACGATAACTTTGACTTGTTCAGGTTGTGTCTGGGGGTGTGGCATCAAACCAGTATGTTAGGGATAGGCTTCATCAGGTTGTTAAGCAGAACGAACTTAAACTTGTGTGTCCTCCTCCCTCCCTATGCACCGACAACGGTCAGTAATACCATGTTTGTTTGGCTTTCTAAGCTTTGTTGTGGAAATGGCTAGTGTAGAGGAATATGGTTGTTTCATGGCAAGTCAACCGAAACTCGTAGATTCTTAGGTGTCACATGACCTACTATTTTTTAATCAATAATAAAATGTAATAAATTTTGCTTAGCTCACCCAAAAGATCCTCAAAAGGTAAAATTCTCCTCAGATTTATATATTAGACACATATCTGGTGAGAACCCATCGTCAATAAAGACCCAAAGTCTATGGGTATGTTTGGCACAACTAGATGAAAAAATATTTTAATAAGCTTTTTAGTAACTGTTAGCTTTTAGTAACTGAAAAGATCTTAAAAGAAATAGGTGATAGTTTGGTAAAAATTGACTGTTAGATTTAGTTCTGTTTGGTATACAAGCTGTTAAGACTAATTAATACTAAAAGCAACAGACTTTTCTCAGATGCTACTCCCTCCCTCCCTGTAGCATCTCAAAAAAGATCTTTTATTATTTGAAAAGCTCTTAAAATTTGTCATGCCAAACATATAACTATAAGGTTTTAGAGACTTTTTAAATAGTACAAAAGCTAGAAGGCGGAGACTTATGCCCGCCAAACATGCACTATGTTTAACATGCCCATAGCTCAAACTGAGCTGGACATTATGAAAATAGATAAATGGGAGGAAAAGACCCAAAATGTGTTACCATAAATTATTATTTTAAGGTGCCAAATAAACAAATGAACCCCAACTGGACTAGGTTTTCATACCATATTAAATTGGTGTAACTCACCCTATAGAATCCAGTAGATGTAAGATTTAATGCGTATTTATATATCATAGCTACATTGCGTTTAAAGATCCTGTGTGGACACTTGACGAATATAATTTTTACTTTATTTTTGCATGAATTTATCGGGTTTACCATCTTCGTGTATTAGGAGTGATGGTTGCTTGGACTGGGATTGAGCATTTCCGGGTGGGAAGATTTGATCCGCCGCCACCTGCTGATGAACCTGAAGATGCTTTGGTTTGTCTTCTTTCTTCCTTCTTCTTTGCTTTTCATCCTCTCTTTTCCCATGTTTGGTTTGAAAAACCCGGGATTCTGGGAGTCAGGGATTAACAGCGCTAATCAAAATCAATAAGTTGGGACTTGGGAGGTATTACATTCCGCCTCCCACACATGGTTGGTTTTGAATTATTTCCCGAATATCATCTTCTACTTTCTCAATAATTCAATTCAGACCACCAAATAAATTCTTGAAGATGTATCTCTCTCTCTGGAACACAGCTTGATTTGCGGCCAAGGTGGCCATTAGGAGAAGAGTATGCAGAGGGAAAAAGTGAAGCACGCTCTCAGAAGACCGCCAGGCTTCACCCTTCACTTACTTCTCTCATCCAGCAGGCAGCATCTTCTATCATTCTATGAAGCAAGCAATAACTAGTTAACTCCCTCAAGATGCATGCAGCCTGAGTTACTTATCATTACTCTCTACCAAGAACATGTGCCATATCCTGACTGGGGGTTTAAGTGTGTTTGAAAGCATTTCATGCTCCTCAAACTGGAGAACCAGCAAGTTTGAACACCCCCTCACTACTCATTGAGAATCTTTCTAGGTAGACACCATAATTTATCTCTCTTATATAATAGAGTCCATGTATAAGGTCTTTAAATAGTACTTGTATACAGTTTAAGGTCTTTTATACGGAGTACTTTATATTCTTCATTTGTAAAAAAAAAGAGTTATGTTTGTATTACAGTACTACTCTAGGACAAATAGTAGAAAGTAGAAACATCAAACATGTTCTTTTGTGGATTTGAATCAAGTGTAAAAGTTGTGCCTTTTTTTGTGTTTTTCCCTTCCATATTTCACACAAAACTTAGCTAGGCTTTTTTCAGTCTTGACCATATACAAAATGTATACGGCCTGAGTTTTAAAATTATTCATATTAAAACACCATCATTCAATAAGAGTAGGCTTGGGTCTTGACCTGTTCTGGGCCGGTCCCGGTTCATTTTTTTTTATTCTTATTTATTTCACCCCCACCCCCCATCCCCCCCAACCCCCCAAACCCCTCGGAAATACCCAGCCCAGCCCAACTAACCCCAGCCCAAACCAAAAAAATAAAAAAAAATAAAAAAGGCCCGAACCGAGCCCGGCCCGGCCGGGCCGCTTCCCCTTTTCCCTTACTCGTGCCCGGAACTGGTAGACCCCCCGGGCCTAGGCCCGAACCGGACCCGGACCCGGTTTCCCGGGCCGGGCCGGTCCCGCACAGTAGCGGGCCGAACCGGTTCCCGGGTCGGGTGCTCCGCACCGAGTCCAAGCCTAAATAAGAGCTTGTTTGGTTAATGGTTATTTTGTTTTCCGCTTATTTGGCTTATCTGTAATTTTTTTCGTCAAACATGTAATTTTTGATTTCATGTGATGAATTGTGTAATAATAAGAAAAAGTAAGGTTAAAGTTACTTTTTTGATTGTATTGGTTGAAGTTACTGTAGAGAATCAGTCAATCCAGTCAGTTCAACCAGAATTTCATAAATTTCAGTAGAACCGGTTAATGCAGTCGATTTGGGTATTACTAGGGATGGACCGGTTTCGGTTCGGGCATGGTCGGGCCTCGGTTCATGAAGGGGAGACTCGGAACCGGCCCGGGTAACCCCGGGTCCGGGCCGGGCTGGGCCTCGGTTCTATTTTTTTTTTTTTTTTGGCTTTATCTAGTTAACCTCCAACCCTCCCCCTCACCCCCAAATCAACCCTAACCCCTTCAAATGGCCCAAAATTCCCAGCCCAATGACCCCAACCCAAAAACTAAAAAAAAATTCCAAAAAAAAAAAAAAATTGGCCCGGCTCGGGCCCGAACCGGCCGGGCTGGTTCACCTTTTGAAGGGCCCGAGCCCGAACCGCCATCCCACCGGGCATACTATACCTGAAAAAAAAATCTTTTCACTTACTATTTTTGGACAATTTGTGTGGTTCACATTCATTTCATTTTTCTTACACAATTACAACCACACATTTACACTTTTTTCCGCTTTCTTAATCTCCGTGGCAGGTCAAAGTGAGAAGAATTTTCTGGGACGGAGGGAGTAGTATTTTGTAATGGACCCCAAACTACGGTTTAAAGTTGAAACTTGAAAGTGTGACAAATTATGAACTAACATATTATGACAAATTTTGTAGTAGACTATTTTTTTCTTCAAAATTTCTAGTTTGAACTGGTACAATCATTTTTAAGCTCAAACTCGAGTCTGTGGATTAGATGTCAGCTATTTTCACACCTGAGTGGCTAATTTGATTTTTGAGATTCAAAGTCATATATATGGTTTTTTCGGCCGGGTTTAACATCATGTTTTATTGAAAATGTTAGTAGAAGAATGAAACTGTTAGTAGAAGAATGATGGTTGATTTCAAACCAAGAATAAATTGAAGTGAATTCAAACTTCTTTTAATACTCTCAATTCCTACTTTCACTATTCTCTTCCCCGCTCTTCTTATCAGAATGAATTCAAAGTAAAACACATTTAATTACGTCATTTCTGCCATATGTGGTTCTCTCTAGGTTAGAAGATAGAAATGGCTTACTGCTTTATTTCCTTGTGGTTTGTTGGTGGACTGGCTGGCTTCCTCCATTCCTTCCTCATCCTCACCTAAACAGAACAAACTAGGATGTTTTTACTTGAATTGAAATTTATTGATCTGATCTGATCTGTTTAAGTCTGGTTTGTTCTAGTCTGAACTAGTTTGATCTGCTAAATGTCTACCTCTGTGTATTTTATAACTATAAAATTCAGATCAGATCTGATTTGATCTGTTTAAGTATGATCTGATCAAGTCTGGGATTGAAAACAGTCAAATAAAAACATCTTAAACTAAACGTGACATCAACAATTACGTAGTATAAAATACACAGAAAATAGACCGTACTTAAACAGATCCTTACCTAAATCAAAACAATTGATTTGAGACCAACTTCCGTGGAGGCCCGGCAAGTAGAAAATTGATAGGTGAATTTGAATTTGGGATTATCTGAAAGGAGAGGGAAGCACCAATCATCCTCACACGGCGCGAAAATTGGGAGTGCAGTGATCTGGGAAGATTTTAGTTTAACTGAGAGGGTTCTTCTTCAAAGCGGAAATGGAGATATCGAGCCTACCCATATCGGCGTCGCTGAGGGGAAAGCTGATATCTGCCGGCTACACTTCTCTCTCCTCCCTATTCTCCGTCTCTTCATCCGACCTTGCTCGAGGTCCTGCTCCAAATTTCGGATTGATTGATTGTGCTAGTTATTTCTACTTTGTTTCTAGAGAATAATAGTCCAGCTTGTTTGTTATTACTTGTTCATTTTCATTTTTGTAGGTGTGCTTAAGATACTTACCAGTGAACATCTAAATAAAAGTTTTTTGTAGTCATTAATTAATCATATCTACAAAAGTTTTTTTTTTGTAGTCCATAAGGAGTGGATTAAAAAATTCTCTAAGAATTATTTGTAGAACTCTTCTTGAAACATCTATTGTAACATCAAATTAGAGTCTTTTCCTTTCTGTGAAAAAAGAACATTTTATAGGGAAATCCCAGTCCACCAAGGGTTAAGCAATGAAGCGCCTACTTACATCTGGGATATTCATTTCAATCCTGAGAAAGTGTATATTTCTTGGATTCGTGAGTTGAATTGACATAGTATGGCTAATGTTACTTGGAGCTGAATGATATGCTGACAGAACCTCTGTTTGATTTTGACATAACAGATAATGGGTGTATGGACCATTATGATTTTAGATGCTTGTTTTTGTTCCCTTGTGTGCATTTTTCATTGGCTAATGTGTGGACAAGGAATACCATATACTCCGTATTAAAGTATGCAACATCTAACCAACAAATAAACTACTTCTTGTGAGACAATGTTTCTACCTCCGTCCTCTCCCTCTCCTCATTTGATTTAAGTTTAATTTGCTTGGAAATTGAAAACTATAGGATTTGGATCTGGTTAGTAATAGAGAAACAATATCAATCTCAGAACTCCTTCCTTGAAAGGAAAGATGGGATGATTTAGGGACACCTGAAATGAACTTAGTGAGTAATATTTTTATTGTCAGTGACCCGACATTTCTGTTGGTGTGTTTTGTTATCCAGATTTAAACATTTTAGAGAACGCAGCACTTGGTATTCTGGAAGTTGCATCTCATAGAGCCGGACTGGGAAAAACAACTCGATGTCATGATGTTGTCAGTGGTATGGATGTCTTAATCCTATCTTTAGGTGTAGTTTGGCCCAATGTTATGCACTGCAATCTAAATATCTAATCAAATATTTTTTAGAGAAAATCACTATTAGACTCCTGAAGTTATGTCATAATTATTAATGCAACCTTGCATTTTCAAAAATCAATTATTTAACCCCGAGTTTTTATCATTCTCACGGTTTTCCCCCTCAGGTTAATATTTGTTAAACTAAATTTAATATACTTCTTAAGTACAAAAATAACGATCAAGAACAATGATCTATAATTATGATAATAAATTGTATTTTACTTTAAAATTAATTTTATAGACAATTTTCATTGATTTTAAGTTATATTATATTTAATTTAACAAATATTAACATGAGGGGGCATATAGTGAGAATGATAAAAGCTGAAGGGGTAAATAATTGATTTTTGAAAATGCAAGGTTGTATTAATAATTATGATATAAATTCAGGGGGTAATAGTAATTTTCCTTATTTTTTATTATAAATTTAGATTACACATGCATTTTAATACATTGCATATCATTTTACCAAACTGCACCTACTAACATTCACTTCAATGGACTACATAGTTCTGAAATGTACGTGACTGCTTTAAAGCTACAAGTTTAGTAAGGAGGAAGCTTATATCAGAGTACCATATTTCTTGATTGCTATTTTTTGTGTGGTTAATAAAAGCCATTAAACAGGATGTAAGTCATTATCTATGTTTATTTATTTGTTGAATAAACTCCATTTTTCTCACTAGGAGCTCAGAATGCCTGGGATATGCTGCACCAAGAAGAATTATGTGGGCGAATCACAACGTGTTGCGCAGACTTAGATCAGATATTGGGTGGGGGGATAAGCTGTCAAGAAGTTACAGAAATTGGTGAGTTCTGAATCCCTTTGACAGAAGGATGAGATGTAGTTTTTTTGGATGGTGATGTTTTGCATAGAATGTGCCTGATTCTTTTCTAAGTTCTTTTCTCTTTCTTCTTTTTCCTTCTCCATTTGAGGACATTAGGTGGAGTACCAGGAATTGGTAAAACACAACTAGGGTACTCACTGTCTCAGCCTCTCATACTGCCTCCATATCTGTTTAATATTAGCTCTCTTTTCTCATGGCTAATATTTGCAGGATACAACTTGCAGTGAATGTCCAAATACCAGTTGATTATGGCGGCCTTCAAGGAAAGGCAATATATATAGGTGATAACATATTGTCCCGAATAGAGTCTATTTTGACAAAATTTACTAATTTTGTTGAATTTAATGTAACTAATAAAAGTGTTCCAAACAATTTATGTGTGTTAAGTTTAGTTTGAATACACAAATTAAGTTAAAAATAAGTATGACAGTTTACAAAAGCTGTAACTTAACAAAATAAAAACATGTACCTGGATGAAACACAATCACTTATATTGGACGGAGGGAGTAATTTATATGCTAATGCCAATTGACTTTATCATCTCGAAGTTTCAACTGACACAAGAATTTTCCGTATTTTTTAGACACAGAAGGAAGCTTTATGGTGGAGCGTGTTTTGCAGATTGCAGAAGCTTGTGTTGAGGATATGCAAGAGTATAGCGGCCTCTTACACAAGGACAGACAAGCCCCTCAAATTAAAATGCAGTCAAAAGATTTCCTTGATAATATATTCTGTTTTCGTGTTTGTAGCTACACAGAGCAAATTGCTGTCATAAATTACCTGGACAAGTTTGTCTCAGAACATAAAGATGTAGGTAGAGTAATATTGTTTCCTTGCAGTTTCCCGAGTGGTAGTGCTTGAAACCCCTGTGAATTTGTCTATATTATTTGTCACAGGTTAAGTTGGTGGTTATTGATAGCATAACTTTTCACTTTCGTCAAGATTTTGTTGATATGGCTCTTCGAACTCGGTTGCTTAGTGGGTTGGCCTTAAAGCTGATGAAGCTTGCAAAAAAGTGGAGCTTGGCAGTAAGTATTATTCTATTATTTTTGTAAGTATATTTCGTAGTATTTTAATCAACTTTCCCCCCACATTTAATTATGAATTTATGAGCCCATTTGGTAAGGGTAAAATATATGAAGTATATCAAATGGGTGAAGTGACTTATTTGACCATCACTAGTGCCCGTTGGAGTCCTTATATTTCCATATACCAACCATATCACTCATCAGTTAAATATGTAATTATGCACCAAACTCTAACTTTTGCACGAGATAAGTTGGTTGGTTATGAAAAAACAGAGCATAAGATGCCTTTTTGCTGAAAGATGAAAGCAAATGACACTTTAGCTTTACTTTCACGAAATATTTTCTCTTCATTATCATGCGTATAATATAATGTTTTTTTTTTAAATTTAGTCAGTTCATCAATTTAATCCATTTCAAGTTTTCAACCACAACTCGAGCAACTTCAGCCATTTCAGCAACTTCACATCCACCAAACAGGCTCCAAATGGGCTGATGTTGATGAAATTGTGGGACCAAGTATTCAAGGAAATATATTTTTAATAAGCCGAAGAATATAATATAAGCGTAAAAGTGTCATTTTCTTTTTGTTTCCGCCATTTCAACTTCCACAGGTTGTTCTATTGAATCAAGTGACGACCAAGTGTTCTGAAGGTTCATATCGATTAACTCTCGCCCTTGGTAAATCTCAGAAAACTTCTTGACATCATACCTTTTCAAGGTTATTAAGCTTGTCTTACTCACCATCCCATGTCTAAAATGTGCTTAATATTAGGTGATAGCTGGTCACATGCTTGTACAAATCGTATCATTCTCTACTGGAACGGAAGTGAAAGAAATGCATATATTGACAAGTCGCCCACGGTTCGATCAGCACGTGCTGCATATGCTGTGACTGGAAGAGGCATCCGGAACTCGGCATCGAGCTGTAAACGAGTTAAAATGATGTAAGAGTACTCAGTTTACATTATTGCTTGACTAGGGCACATAATTTCGGAGAAACAATGAGTGAATGTCAATATGTACTTGTGCTTGGTTCGTACTTCTAAGATTACACATTGTCGTCAGCTATGTTTGGATGCCAGAAAAGCCATGGGATGCAAAGAAACTGCTACATGTTTTTCTTTTTCAAATTTAATTCTTGAGAAACGTAGTTTTTGTAGAAGTAAAAGCGCCCAAGAAATCTTGCTTTGCTTATGAAAACTATCCTACAATGTTGTCATTTTTACAAAAATGTACGCCAGCCTTTTGGGAAGTGTTTGTGAAGTTTCCATGCCTGAAGGTGAGGGACACACCTAACATTGAAGTCCAAGAGTTTATGCGGAACATAGCTAATACTCCAATAACTAACCATTTAGAGATGTACTATATTTGCACACTTAAGTGGTAGGTACTACCTACCACCCAAATAAAGTCTTTGCTCTTGGTCCAATAAAAGGTGGAATCTCCCATCAGAGGAGCCCCACCCCGACTCGACAGGACGTTGAGGAGATTAATCACAGTCGGCAAAGCGGCAGTAGGTTTTATATACGTGCGCACCAGAGTTTCAGCCTTATTTCAGATTCTGTAACCGTCGTACGGCTGCTGCGAGTTTTGAACCTTGGTCACTTGATCCAATTTTACCAACTGAGCTACCCGTGCGGATAAAAAGATAAAGTGTTTGCTCAATATTATTGTGGTCAATGCAAACTTCATTAATCTTTGGTTCATGAATCAATAGGACATCTTTTATTAATTATTATTACTGGAAAAACTTACGAGTATATTTATAACAAAAAAGATTCAGGATGTGTTTACAAGTTAACAATGACTCACCGGAAGGTAGGTTGAAAACGCTAGAGTATAATGGTTTAGAAAAATGGCATATTCTGAAGACTAATTCAAGAAAAATCAGAAATGGTAGGTGAAGTTTATAAAAATATAATAACTTCCTACATTTGGTTTGTATATTAATACTTCGTATATAAAATACTACGCAGTACTTCGTATTTACTTATTATTTGAACATTCAATTCACTAAGTAAATGCTAAACATTAACAAAATACTCTGAGTATGATATATGATTTTTCAGATTAGATCATACTACGTACTAAGTTAGATATTTTACAAATTATTAATGAATTAGAACTTATTTATAAAAATTCAACTAAAATTACTATGAGTACATCGTTAGAGCATCTCCGATGCTATAGTGTACACGGTGCACATGTGACATGGAAGATAACCACATACATATTAGCAAATAAATTATCTTTCTCCTTATTTGAATGATTTTATACAATTTTGGTAAGTTTTCACCTGAATAGACGATCTCTTTCACATTGTGGAGAAAAACCTACCAAAATTGCATAAAAGCATTCAAATAAGGAGATAAAGAATTTATTTACTAATATTTATGTGGCTATCTCTCATGCCACATGTGCACCGTGCACATTATAACATTGAAGATGCGTATTAAATATAAAAATTAAATATAAGTTACTATGATCAAAGTTTCTATATTTAAACAAATCAATAGCACAACATCTTATGATTTGATGACACGTTATATACTTAATATAAAAGAGATAAATAAATTAAAATAAACTAGATCAGAAATTAATACGAAGTCACAAAGAGCCATCGCCTCCGCCTCTCTCTACTCTCCAAAACTAACCAACCCATCTCCTTCGTCATCCGCATATTATATCTTCATCCTCTGTTGACTGATCTCTCTCTCTCGTTTCGTTTCCCACCACCAAACGCACCTTCATTTCTCTCTCTACCCCAGCCATGGCTTCCTCTTCCCTCTCCCAAGCTATCCTCTCTCGCTCTATCCCACGCCATGGCACTACATCCTCCGCCCCTCAACTCCGCTCTTGCTCTCTTTCCCTCCCCAATTTCAACGGACTCAGGGCCTCCTCCTCCACTAGCCACCGTCGCATCGTCCCTTCTTCTTCCTCCGCCGCCGCCGTCCACCGCTCCTTAGCTGTGAGGGCGTCTGCTCCCGTTGAGACTTTGGATAAAACTGACACTGCCCTGGTTGACAAATCAGTCAACACCATCAGATTCCTGGCAATTGACGCAGTCGAGAAGGCGAATTCGGGTCACCCAGGTCTGCCTATGGGTTGTGCTCCTATGGCTCACATCTTGTACGATGAGTCCATGCGGTACAACCCGAAGAACCCCTACTGGTTCAACCGTGACCGCTTCGTACTCTCCGCCGGCCATGGATGCATGCTCCATTACGCCCTGCTTCATCTTGCCGGATATGATTCTGTCAAGGTGTGTTTATTCGTCCCTTGAATCCACATTTAGCTATCTACCATTTATTTGTTGCTTGATCTGGTCACGTTTTGTTTAAGGCCCTAAAAATTGACGAAAGAAACGTTTTTTGAAAAAAAAATGGAGGTTTATCATCTCTTTCATTTGACTTTACTTTTAACGCGATCTTTTGTTTACTTCTTGAGAATGGCTTTTCCCTTAACAGTTTAAAATTTTATAGCTCGACTTTTTGTATGTATTCTTTTAATTAGCTTTGGACTAATTAAGTTCACCACGCCATGGCACTACATCCTCTGCCTTTCAGTAGTCTAGTACTTCATTTTAAGAATCAAGTTGCTGATGTGAAGTTCTGTTTGTGAAGTGATTGGATCTGGTTTAAACAGTTCAGCTCCCATTTATATTTTATGTTTGTTGGAATGATATAAACCAGGAAGAGGACTTGAAAAGTTTCAGGCAATGGGGAAGTAAGACCCCTGGTCACCCTGAGAACTTTGAGACACCCGGTATAGAAGTCACTACTGGTTAGTTTCTGCCCATGATGCTACATTCTTTACATATTACTCCGTATATATCTCTTTGGATTACAGCAGAGAGGAAAGAAAATGCTGAGATAATTTCTTATCTTTGGATTTACCTCAGAATATGCAAAGAAAAGTGAATATGTAACATTTTTTCCCTCCCAGATTTCCCCTACCGGTTCCTCCCTTTATTCTTTCCCTTCTACTTTCTGGGTTCCAAATGGAGCGTATATGATTGAGTGATTTTCATTTTTCATCTTTCTCTCTTTCATTATAACCTTTCCCCCCTTTATATAGGCCCTCTTGGACAAGGTATTGCAAATGCAGTTGGTTTGGCCCTTGCTGAAAGACATTTGGCTGCCAGGTTCAACAAACCAGATTGCGAGATTGTTGACCACTACACGTAGGAAAACATCCTAGACTAAGTCTCATCATCATCATCATCATCATCATCATCATCATCTTTTCTCTCTTCTGTTGAAGTTTAAGTGTCCCAATGAAACCTGAAAAATATGATGGAATTAAATTAGGGAGGAAAGTGAAGGGAAAATTTGGATGAAAATGTGCGTTTTGTGTGAAGACTTAAGAAATTTAATTACATGTAAAAAATCAATGTTTATATTTTTTAATTTAATTTTGGAGTTCATATTTTTCTCTGTAAATCAAAACATTCAAAACATTAAAGAACTGTTTGTCTTGTTTGATTAATGGAATGAATTGATCTGTGCAGATATTCCATCCTCGGTGATGGCTGCCAAATGGAGGGAATATCAAATGAGGCTTGCTCCCTTGCTGGACATTGGGGGCTTGGCAAACTAATTGCTTTTTATGACGACAACCACATCTCTATTGATGGAGACACTGAAATTGCTTTCACTGAGGATGTGGTTGCTCGTTTTGAGGCTCTAGGGTGGCATGTTATTTGGGTTAAGAACGGCAATACTGGCTATGACGAGATCCGGGCTGCCATCAAGGAAGCAAAGGCTGTTAAGGACAAGCCCACTTTGATCAAGGTGATATCCTTTAATAGTCAAGATTCTATACTCCTTTGTCGTGTTGTTCTCATGTATGCTAAACTTACTTTTGCATGTAGGTAACAACAACCATTGGGTTCGGGTCACCCAACAAAGCAAACAGTTACAGTGTTCATGGAAGTGCACTGGGAGCCAAGGAAGTTGAAGCAACTCGGAAAAATCTTGGATGGCCCTTTGAGCCATTCCACGTGCCTGAAGATGTGAAGAGGTATTACTTTTCTATCTTACTACCTCCGTCCCTTAAAACTTTGCCAATGTTGATCAGCACGGAGAATAATAAAGTAAAAGCTGTGTGGTTGAGGTTTGTGCAGAGGAGAGAGAAATAATAGAAACCACAAAATAATTGATTAAAAGGGAAAGTGACAAAGTTTTTTTGGGACGTCCCAAAAAGGAAAGATGGCAAAGTTTTAAGGGACGGAGGGAGTATATAATTTTGAGTTTTTGACGGTTAAGTACACCTTATTCACTGTCGGTCTACTAGGTTTAGAACTAGACTAGAGCATATAAGGGTGGGGTCAATCTCATATTTGGGAATCTTTGGGGTGAGTTTTGCCCAATTTAACATAGTGTTAAATACTGGTCCGTCGGATGGTAGTTTCTTAGTCGCCTACCTGTTTGGGGTATGTTTGAAATTTGGTTCCATCTGTCTATCCCTACAGTTACCCACTCGAATTGGGATGTGGGAGTGTGTTGAGTTTTATGCATCAGTTATCTTCGGGTTTGAGACGAGTATATAAGTGTGAACTGTGAAGTCATTGGAGCCGCCAATGACTGTTACGGTGAGGTTTAATCTGAAGACAAGTGTTCTATTTTGTTGCTTTGTGCAGTCATTGGAGCCGCCATATCCCAGAGGGTGCGACACTCGAAGCTGAATGGAATGCCAAATTTATTGAATATGAAAAGAAGTATCCAGAAGAAGCTGCAGATTTGAAGGCCATCATCACTGGCAAACTACCCTCTGGTTGGGAGAAAGCACTTCCTGTGAGTCTTCTTATCTATTTCAGTATTTCTCTATTATATAGTCTCTATTTGGCTGCATTAATTGGAAGAGTAAAGTTTAGAGATTCAGCCAAATAACTCTTACCAAAAGAGCCTACTTTTTTTTCAAATCTTATCAAATTGCTGTGTGAAGATATAAAAAAGTGACTGTGTTATACCCAAAAGAAAGTAACTGTGTTATAAATTTATAATCCTATAACATGTTATCCTCATTGATTCTGCGATTCACTTTTGTTCCAAAACATTCCAGACATACACTCCAGAGAGTCCGGCTGATTCCACCAGAAACTTGTCGCAGCAAAACCTCAATGCCCTTGCTAAGGTTCTCCCCGGATTCCTTGGGGGCAGTGCAGATCTTGCCTCTTCCAACATGACCCTCTTGAAAAGTTTTGGTGACTTCCAGAAGAACACTCCAGAA